AGCCGCAGGTGCGCGGGCAGCTCCGACGACGGCGGCGAGCCGGGCCCGGCGGGCGTGCGGGGCGCCGCGGCGCGGCCGGGCGATGCTGGGGGCGACGACCACGCGTGCTGCGGCCGACCGCCGCCGGGCTCCCCGCCCGCGTCGCCGTCCCACAGCCCCGCGGCTCTGAGCCCCTCCAACTGCTCCTGCTCAGACAGCTCCCGCCCGCCCCGCTCCGCCGCACCGGCAAAACCGCCCGAGCCCTCAGCCGCCCCAATCAGCTCGCGCGCCGCGGCGTCGGCGTCGCCGTGGTGCTGCCTGAGCACCGCCGACGCGACCGCTGTGGGAACGGCCGGGAGCATCTCCTGCAGGCGGCGCAGCGCCACGGCGTGGGCGGGGTCCTCAGGGGGCCCCGCCGCGCGCCCGGCGCCGGCCGAGCGCGCCGCTTGGTTGCCGGGCGCGGCCGCGGGCGCGCCGCTGGTGGCGCCGCTGGTGGCTCCACTCAGCAGGTCTTCCGCCGCCGCGTTGACGTCGCCGCCGCGCCGCGCGAGCGCGGCGACGGCCGCGGTGGGGGCGACGGCCTTGAGCGTTGCGCAGAGCTCCAGGGCGGCCGCCGCGGGCACGCCCTGGGCCGCGGCCAGCATGACAACCTCGTTCACACGCGCCGCCGCCGTCGCCGCCGCGCCGGGCGACGCCGAGCCCGGCTCGCCCCAGCCGTCGCGGCGCGGCGAGCCCCACGCCTCCGGCGTCGGGGGCGCCGCCGCGGCGGCGGCAGCCGCGCCAGCAGCGGCGGCGGCATCCCCCTTCTCTTTGATCGTCCTGATTGCGACCGCAAAGTCATTGTCGCAGTCCTCCATGATGGCGGTACACAGCGCCTCACCAAACTGCCGCTTCAGCCGCTCGAACTCGAGCCAAAGCTCAAGGTTGTCCCGCCCAGACTCTCCCGCGGCAGAGGCACCGCCGCCGCCCGCGCCCAACTCGCCGAACGCGCCGCCGCTCAGCGCGCGCATCAGCTCCCCGTCGTCCTCGGCGCCCCTGGCGCGCCGCGGGCGCAGCACGGCGCGGCCCGCGGGCAGCGCCGCGACGGCGGCGTCGGCGGCGGCGTCGGCTGCTGCGAGGTCAGGGCGGTCGCGGCCGGCGATGAGGGCGTCAAGGGCGGCGACGCGGGGGTCGCTGATCTGCTGGACGTACCCC